AAAACAATATAAAAATATATGTAAAAAATCTAAGATATATCTATAAAGATATATCTATAAAGATCTTGTGGTTTTCAAGACAGGGTTAAAAAATGCACAGCATAAATACTGCTCAAGAAACAATACTATTCAAAGACTCTAGTCTCTCAGGTACAAAGCTAATGTATACTATGGCATTTTATATCTGAAGAAAAATAAACATTGTGCCATTAGGTGGAAAATAACCACCCTCTTTTGCATGCTAAGACCGTATAATAAAATTGACATGCTAAGATTACTACTAAATAATGACTTGAAATCACTTCCTTCTGATAATATCCGACAGAACTAAAATGACATGTAACTTAAAGCTGACTAAACACAAACAATTTAGGCTTTATCTCTGTTGTGGGCTGGCCTGGCTAACAGCCAAATGCCCACCGAGCTGCTCACTCATTCCACTCTCCTGTGGGAGAGGGAGAAAACAGAAGGAAGGCAAGGAGACTTGTGGATTAAGGTAGCAACAGTTTAACAGGCAAAGCATCAGCTGTGCATGCAGGTGAAGAAAAAAAAAAATTATTCTCTGCTTCCCATTGGCAGGCAGATGTTTAGCTATTTGCTGGAAAGTAGGGCCTCAGCACACCTACCAGCTGCTTGGGAAGACAAATGCGATAATCGCCCATATCCCCGCTTCCTCCTCCTTTGCCTGAGCTTTAATTACTGAGCACAACATCATATGCTCTGGAACATCCCTTTGATCAATTTGGGTCAGCTGTCCTAGCTGTGTGACCTCCTGGGCAGAGTGGGAAAGAGAAGGCCTTGAGGCTGTGCAAGCACTGTTCAGCAATAGCCAAAATATTGGTGTGTTATCAATACTGTTTCAGCCAGAAATTCAAAGCACAGCACCATTTGGGCTGCTAAGAAGAAAGGTAACTCCATCCTAGCCACAGCCAGTACAATCTCAAAATATTCAAGTCACACAGACTGATGTCAGAGATGTATCTGCACAAGCCCATTTAGTTACATTAAATGAATCAGGAGGCTAAAAAGGTGCATCTGCAAATAAGTAGTCCAAGTACTATTAAAATTCAATGTATAGATCCCTACTTAACTCAAAAAGAGAAAAAACTTTTATTACACACTACAAGTAGATGTTGCTTATATAACATCTACAAAAGCTGCTGAGAGTAAAGTCTATCACCGGAAAAGCAGTTCTCTAATTAGCTAAATAGATGGGATTAAAATGAAACAAGCATTTACCAGATATGTTTATCAATGTAGTATCTATCTTGCTGGTAGCTTTGCTTGCAGACTGACTCTCAAAAAACGAGGAACCTCCTGAACGCCTTATTCGTGACAGGCTGACTTTCACAAACTCAAGGTTAATGCTCAAAGAATCCTTCCGGCCAGTGACTGAAGTTGGTTCCTCATCTACATTACCTAGAAATAGAAAGGAAAAAGTTTAATCTTCTGTGACCTTTTCAAATCTTCAGTTCAGAAAACCATGCCAAACTTGAACAACGTTCATTAAAGCAAACAAAAACTTGTTTTGTACCTAAGGCTCCTGATCCAGGGGTTAAAACAGTAACAGCAGATTTTTGTTTTCCAGCTCCGTATGGATGGAACACATAGAGGGAAAAGTCAGACATGCAGGCAGTAAAGCTCAGGCCTGAAGAGCTGCTACTAGAAGTAGTCAAGTCTGACTGACTGCTGCTGTGCCGTGTTCTGCCAAGAGGGCTGCCTAGTCCAGGTGATGAACCTGAAATCAAATTATTTTTTTTTTTGCAAAAGTTAGTTTTAGTATGAAAGCATTTTCAAACGTGAAATAATACTGTTAACAGCAATATTACACAGATCAAATGCACATCAAATTATGCCCTTGTAGCAGCAATGCACCTTAAGTATCCTATGTATTGATGCTAGCTATAAGAGATAATGAACTTACTTAACCAATGGACAAAAAACTCCAATATACTGTATCTGTGCAAGCTTTTAAGGGAAACTGATGCAACATGAAGAAATCCTACTGAACTCACTAATGTGTAAATGTCTAGCCTTAAGGTGAGTAAAAGCTTATCTTCTCTAATTTTAGACACCAGAACATTATATTTGTTTATGCTACAAGCTGTATATAGTATAAACATCCATATACATATTACCTGGTGCTCCAGATTTACTAACTGTATTCTTTGAGCCACTCTGTGAAGTATTGCCACCAATTGACACATTTTCTGATGGGTACGTTGTGCCTAACGTTTCCAGTTCTCCACGGTTTGAAGAGAAAACGAGATCCAGGGAAGGCAACTTCAACATACATTCAACTCTTGATACCGGCAAGCAACTGAACTTGATTTGAGAGGGCTGAAAGACAGAAAAAAAAAAAATAGAGCATTCAATGAACAAATCTGGCTTATAAAGTGCCATGTATTTATTTTTTAAATCGAAGCAAATTACAGCCTTTTCAGACTAGTTTTAGAATTAGGAAGATAACTATACACAAATTGATACAGATGCATTAATTTCAGGCAATCCCTCCAGCACCAGGGCTGTTATTTGGACCAGGTTTTGGAAAAACTTAGACACAAGAAGCCTGGATGCATGAGAGAACATATATGTCCCCATCTCTTCCTCCTCCCAAATCAATTCATAGCTCATCTCATGCGAGAACTATGCAGAGTCATTCGAGCTGACGCTGAAAGCCTCAGCTCCACTCAACACATTCTTGGCCAGCTGAGTTTGTAAGTAAAAGCTGAGAGGCCACAGATTGTTGCGGTTAATTTTCATAGGCATTAAAAAAAAGCATCTGTTAGAATATGTTGTTCAGTTTGGGAACATAATCAAATTTATACCAGGAAAAAATGTTTGAGCTAAGTGGAAAAATATAACAGCAGTGTTAAGATCAGGCTCAAGTGCTCTGAATCACTTTGTGGTAACACTTCTGTCTTACGCATATACAAAGCCCAGACACATCAAATATTAAGCAGTATGAATAATACCTTGTAGATGATAACCATACATTCCTACTTTTCCATATAAACTGAGAAAATCTTTAATTATTCTTTTTGTTTTGTAATGGTACCTATAAACCACTGATAGAAATACTAGTTATGAAAGGTATTTTCAAAAAAAGTCCAAAAGAGACAAGGAAGAAGTAATGACTAAAAACGCTCAGAACTTCTGTGACTTCCCAAAATAGCTCATTTCTTTGGTCTCCATGGGACTAAAATACACTAGCAGTTCTGCTGAAGTAAGTCCTATTTTATCATCACACTAGAAATTAATATCTCAGAAAGGACACTTGAAAATATTTTTTATTTTTTAAAAAGCAAACTTAGATGCATGGGTTGTCTCAAAGATTGTCACTGAAGTTACCTACTATACTGAATGTTGAGTGAAAACCTCACCTGAACTCGTACATAAACCACCACGTCTACAGGGAAGGATGAATATGCTGATGTTGTGGACGATACTAATGATGTTGTGGACTCTTCTAAGGGATCTTGTATATCGAATTGTCCCATGTCTTCATCCTGTGAACTAACAGCTTTTGACAAGTATAAAAACTCATTAGAAAGTGGAATTTAAAGGGAAGAGCAGCTCAATGCCATCACAAGATAAAAAAAGAAAAAGCCTAGAGTCCTGGAAGACAAATATGCAACTTACCTGTGTAATTCCTTTCAATGGGTGTAATTGGAATGGTTTCAAGAGCTTTCTCTAGAAAGTCCAGTAAGCATGGGCTAATCACCATTTCTTCCGGCAATGACTGGAGTGCAACCCATGCATATAGTTTAGCAGTTTTCACTCCACCACTTCCTTTCCCTTTGGCTGCAACATTTAAAAGATAAATTTGTCTAATGCGATACCACTCAACAGTAACTGATAAACATTAGAAGATATTTCATAACTAACAGCTGTTTCCTCTAATTCTCTGTATCATCATCTGAAAAGGCATAAATCAGATTGGTTATAAAAAATTAAGCCATAAGTTTTCACTAAGAAAACTGTGCAAGAACAACTATTAGTCTGACATGTTTGATTGTAATTCCATTGCGCATGTTCTTGACCAGACACTCTTATGTCATTGTCACCACTTTGCTTTTTAAAAAATAGCACTGAAATCAGATACACACAGTTCTTCTCCAAATACATGATGCAAAGTAACCACAGCTGAGTGGAAATGAAAGTGGAATTAGGAAAAATAAATACATGATCCTGGGACAAATGTCAGTTTAAACTGAGAAAATACATCAAAAAATTAAAACTGTAAATGCCAAGTCCTACTATATTTATGCAAAGAATAACTAAAGATTCTAAACCAGTGTTTTTAAAAGTTTGGAGCTAGCCAGAGTATAAACTAAGAAAAAGACTGTTGTCTTCTAAATCTGTGGAAGAGGCTACCACTTGAATCCACACTCACCAAAATATAAATATGCACGGAAGGTATTAGCACCAGCTCAATTACTGTCTCTATGAAACACAGCTATTAGAATGAATATAGATAAATGAAGACACTGATTTTAAATTCTCCAAGAAAAATATAAACATTAACTACTAAAACGGAGCTTAAATATCCTTTTCTTTCCTAAAAAAACCAAGCACTGAATTTTCATTCTATGCCAACTATTCTGTCTAGTGCCTCTGACTAGATTGTCCTATCTTGCTCTTACTGGAGACCAAAGAGAGTAAGATAAGGTGGTTTCCATTCCAGAGGAAAACTAATATAAAAAAGTGATATAAATAACATACACATTTCAAAACAATTCAGAACTAATAAATATTTGTAAAAATACAATGCATACAGAAATACAGTAATTGAAATCCCTAGTTTTGGGAGACATTTATATCATCATACAAGTGCAATTTCTGTAAGCCCTCCACCAAATATAGAGCTTACAGACATAAAACCAACAAGACTGAGTAACTGGACCTGACATGGTAAAAATTAAAAGGCAAACATTAGAAAGAGGATAGGAAAATACAGAACAAAATTGAGAAAAAGTAGTATAAACCAAGATTACACAACGTTTGGTAACCATAAAGAGGATGGACCCTTAGAGGAGTAAGAGCTAATGGTTCAACAGCATGGATAATTGAGGAGGGTCCCCATTTCACTGTTCTCCCCAGCATCTCTGCTGGTTTCATTAAAAAAAAAAAAACACAACTTTTTTCAGTTATTAATTTTGCCTGCTCATCAATTTGACACAATTTTGGCTTTGTTTTTAAAGTGATATTGTAATGCTTAAGGAGAGAATAGTGAGTCTCAGAAGTTGGAGATGCAATCTACATACCTCTAGATCTGACATGATGTAACAATGGATTCCTGCTTGAAAACAGGAATCATTGGAGATAAAACAAAACTTTAAGTATTTGAACACATTACTCCAAATCATGGTTATTTATGGGCCTGCAACAGTTCAGGAGACTAGCCTGGTATTTTGATTAATACAAATACGTCTAAACAGCTGCTTCAGTACTACAAGAAATAACCCAGTTCCAGAAAGCAATAATTTACGCATTACTTGTGCAGCAGAAGGCACTTAAAAGCTGAAAGTATATGAACAGTGTAATGTATGGAAGCAAGGATTCATCTGAATTTTTTTTTCCTCGGATTATGAAGAATAAAGCAGTCAACATTCACATTTTATACAGATACTTAAACTTTGCTTTCCAGTAATAAGCATTCTTTTGTTAAATGAAAATAGGGAGAAGGCAGTGACAGCCCATCACTGGGATATGGTGACTATGAGAGAAATGTTACTGAGACTGGTTTGGGAAGCGATTTCTAAAAACGTAGCTTTATGAACTGCATTCATGCTTCTGGGATCAGGTTTCTGCAGCCAAAAGTTAAGACTTGATAGATACATTGCTTCAGGTAATGCGCAGACAGATCTAAAGCTAGTAGATTACATGAAGGAAAGATATATATTCATGATAGTTTTAGAAGGTTACTGTCTATAAGTACCTGATGGGATGGGTGGGGGTTGGGGAGGAAGTAAGGTGTTAGTCTTGCTGTGGATAGTGCTAGATAAAGGAGATGTGGCAGTGTCTTTCATACCATACAGCTTGGACTCTTTGGAAAGGGTTCTTGGCAAAGAGGATCCTCGAGAAGTATTTGGCGATTCAGTCTTTAAAGTTTTAGAGTTGTAGTGCAACTGGAAAGCAAAGAAAGAGAAACAATGAACTATTCAGGAACAATGCCTAAAGCTTGCTCCTCCGCTCTGTTACGTCATACCATACGTATCGTGTGCCACCAACTATTTGTTCCTGTCCGCACAGTTTGCTTTCTGTCTTACTGCATGATGGCACTATTCCACTACTAAACCCCAGCATACAGAAAGTTGAATAAAAAAAATAGAAATAATAAATTATTCCAAGAGTTCACATCTCCTGTATGTGCATAATACACTATTAATAAAAACACAGAACATTACAAAAGGTGTAGAGAATGTTTAGTTATTCCTAAATTTGACTAAAAGCAACTGGCAGGACCTGAGGCATCACTGTTATCCCATTCTGATTTTGAGGTTTTTTCCATCTCCAAGAAAATGAGGGTAAAAGCATCTATCAGTTTTCAATGCAGTTTTACGGAAATCATTATTCCTCTTTTAGCATTATCTATATAAATGAAAAAGATTTTGCTGAGGTGCTCTGTATATATGAACTTGTACATACTGTAACAATTTGCTTTGAAATCATATTTGAGCAGAGAGAAAGAGCAAGTGCTTCCCTGCTGAGTTACACACTCCTTTTACCTTTACATCCACCCCAGGAATATAAAACACTGTTGTTTCCACATCACTAGATTTTGTCTGTAGAGATGACGGCACTTTCTTGCCAGCAAGTAAGTGAGTAGTAGATGCATAATTAGTTTGAAATTTCTTCTTTTTTGAAGGAGACTCTTGATCTAAACTTCTGGAACTCCGATCATAGCTCCTAAAATAAATACACTGCGGTTTATTAAAGCAAGCTTAATAATGATATTAATAAGTGCATATTTTCTACTATTAAAAAACCTAGAGATGACTAAAACAAATCTGTAGTATCAACTATATAAGGAAACATTTCAATCTCTGCTTTACTCTTTAGTTCCTGTGACCTCTACTCCCTTTCTGTCTGCACACTCTGGTTTTGCAGAACCAAATTGCTTTCCGATTACAGATCTCCTGTGTATACCTCTCAGTAAGAAAAAGTATGTCTCATTTGTTCCTATTTTTTACAATTAGAGTTAAAACAAGTAAATCTCATTTCCTCATACTATACTTATTAAGAATTATCTTTGTTGACAAATAAGTTTCTTAAAATTCACCATATTATTAGTAACATATCAAATTTTTTAAAGTAAAGCTGCCATTAGATCCCCAATCACATACACATGAAAAAAAGGAGAATTTAAAAACTGAGGACGAGATCCAACCTCACTAAGATTGGAAGTAAAGCACTTCTGCTACCTCAGATAATTTTAAAAAATGAATTTTATTAAGATATATACATAATATCAGCATACTTTTACACTTAGAAAATAACGGGAGCCCTCAGAGATCGTGAGAAAACAGACTAGTAGCCCCACTATTAGTCAAACCATTATGTGGATTCACCAAGTTGTAAAATTACTTCTTTGGAGGCTGAAAAAAAATAATCCAAGTGCTTTGAAAGCCTAACATTTTGTTTAAAAAAGATAAAGCATGATTTAAAAAATAAAAACAGAAGAGAGGCATATGCTGATTTTTGCTAAACAAACTCAACTCCCCATGCCATACTCGGACTTAACAATTGCAGCTTATGGTGATGCTATGAAGTAGCGATAATTACTACCAATAAAGTGATGGTAACAAACTAATGCATACATCTTCTATGCTTTCCAAACAGGTCAGTGCTTAAGAGTCATTAATTATTGCACATATGGTTGTAACTTAAGTGATGGAAATACCAGATGGACTTAACAGCTAAAGCAGGATAAAGTACTCATACCTCTTTCTTCATAAGGCAGCTAACTAACATGTTTCTTACCTTCGTAAACTAATGTCATCATGTTCTTGCTGAAGCATTGTAGGGTGCAGTACACATTTTCCACAATCAATTTCAACCCTGATATCAAGTTCAAAGTCAATATTCCTCTCCGTGGTTGTGCCAGTCATACTTCTGTTGGTAGGCGTTGTGGGCCAGCGCTCAGTCAACAGTTGGTGGACAGCAGCAAAGCCTGTTGCTTTCTTGCGAGAGGTACTCCTGCACAGGCACAATTATGGATTAGAGAGTAGGACGACATTTACCTCAACAGATGGTAGGAGGCATTCTTAGGCTATGTCTACACTTAGTATATGATCTTTTAAGAACTTTTCTTCCATTAACACATTACTAAGTATCCTTTCTTAGTATAGGGTACTACCACTTAGAATCATAGAATCATATAATCACGGCTGGAAGAGACCTCAAAGATCATCAAGTCCAACCGTATACCTGACGCCACCATGCCCGCTAAACCCACTAAACCATGTCTCGAAGTGGCACATCTAAACGTTTTTTGAACACCTCCAGGGATGGTGACTCCACCACCTCCCTGGGGAGCCCGTTCCAATGCCTAACGACTCTAACAGTGAAGAAGCTCCTCCTAATGTCCAGCCTGAACCTCCCCTGGTGCAACTTGAGACAGTTTCCTCTTGTCCTATCGCTAGTTACCAGGGAGAAGAGACCAACCCCCGCCTCGCTACACCCTCCTTTCAGGTTGTTGTAGAGGGTGATCAGGTCTCCCCTCAGCCTCCTTTTCTCCAGACTAAACAGTCTCAGCTCCCTCAGCCGCTCCCCATCAGACTTGTTCACCAGACCCTTCACCACCTTCGGTGCCCTTCTCTGGACTCGCTCCAGCCCCTCAATGTCCTTCTTGTAGTGAGGGGCCCAAGAACTAAGAACTAAGCCTTTCTTAAATTCTCAATCAACAAAAGGAACAAAAAGCTATATATAATACCTTTCATATTTGTAAATATTTACATTATTACATGCACTTTGTGGAGGTATAATCACCAGATAGAACTGAAAGTTATGCTGTATTTGACAAATCTGTCATTTGGTCCCACTGAAACCTGCCCCATGCCTCAAAAATCCTCACTTTCCGAGTTTTTATTCTGTTCCAAGCCCTGAAATTTCTAACAGTTGCCTCCTTTTCAGATCAGAATTCCTACTTCCCTCACAGTCACCTCTGTCGAACACAACCTCCCCTGCCTTCCACATACACACTTCAGGCAAAATTGATTCCTTCATCAGTAACACATTTCATAGCTTTAAAGTCAGTATTTCAAGTGTATTTTCTTAATTTCTTTGTTCTTCCTTAGGACCATTACTTACGGTGGTTTCCTATAAAAATAAGTCCTCTCTCTTTCATGGTCATCCTCCTTCTCAGAGTCCTCACTGCTTGACGATAAGCTGTCATCCCGGCGTCCTTCTTCAGGCTGGAAGGGAATGCCGGGTGAGAAGACTACCGGAGTTTTGGGTGAACCAAATACCGAGCATGAGCCTTCACTAGTAGATGAGTAATGGGAGGGACCATCAATAGTTACAGACAAAAGGTCCATTTCTGTCTCCTCTGGAAACTGATTATAAAGAGACAAAAAGACATTAAATTTCCACAGATACCATTTCCATCACGAATCCATTAGATAGCTGTGGAAATAAAAAAGCAAGAGTGCTACGAGAAACTCTCACTCCCAAGTTCCTCACAATACAGAGAGAGCAGGTGTAGACACTGCAAGACGGATTATGAAAAAGAAAGAAATGAAAGCTTGGTGGGGAGACGTTTGCCATTGCCTAGTGATTGAGCTCAATCTGTTAGCTAAATACGTATCATGCTCTGACCAATTCATAGGATCGGAAGGAATGGAAACATTTCATTTACATTTAAAAAATATTTTGAAAGAAAACAACAAAAGACAGTAAAAATCATCATGAACCTTGTAGAGGAGCGAGGCACCCAGGAGCGTTAGTGAGACGTGCATGCAGAATGCTAACACAGAATGTATGGCACCAGATTGCAGATCTGGGCTGCGCTCTTGGGCACACGTGCTTTAACATGAAATGAACTTCAAGCCAGATTTCCAAAAGGGGCCTCCTGTTTCTCACATAAAGCACCACACAAGCAATTTTCGAACATTAACTCCTTAAAATGCCTGTGAAAAATATCTAGAAGTGTTAGTTTAACACCAGCACTACCGACACAGTGTTACTATAGAGCTGCACAGTCATCCTCTGGAAACTCAAATTAGACCTCTGCTGAAGAGCTGGCACTATAGTATCAGTAAAGTTTGTTTTGTTTTTTTTTTAATATTCAACATTTGATACCTCTAAGTGTTTGATAGCATTTTGCTATGCCAACAAAACTTAAGCTCACTGGGCTTATATATAGCAACAACAACAAAAGGTAGGATAGCTTTTAAATGTGAACATATTTACATGTGCAAAGCACATTTCTATGTTTCATTTCCATCTCTCTCAGAAATTGGAATTTATTTCCTGGGAGCAGAGGAGAGTTGGAAGGGAGAAAAAGTACGTTTCTATCTGCTGAGTTCGGTTGGGTTTTTTGGGGGGTTTTGGGGGGTTTTGTTTGTTTGTTTCGCTTTTGTTGGTTTGTTTTGATTTTGGTTAGGGTTTAAGGAAAAAAAGATCTTTACTATTTTCCCTAAAAATGTTTTTAAAAGCAGTTAAACTCCACCATTTGTTCTCTGGGTATTAAGTTTTGGCACATTCCATACTTGCTATTATTTGAAAATGTCTTACTCTGCATTAAATATGGGAATTCCAACAGAAATAAAGTGTGAGAAGTTGTCCTCCCACCTAGCAATCATTCTGTACTGGTGTTGATGGCTGCAACCTTGGAACACAATGTAACAGATGAAGGCACACACAATAAAATCCTCTTCTAAAGCACATTTCAAGGCTAGACTTTCGTCACTTTACATCAGCCTTGATCAGTCTTCATAAATATACAAACAAAATTCCAATAATTCATTTTACAAAAACTGGCAAGTTTTAGGTCTACTTAAGGGTGTAGAAACAGTCTGGAAAGTTCATCAACAATCAGTCATGTTCTTCTGCTTACTTTACATATTTAAATATTTTCAAATTTGATATACATTCTGTTTAGCTGACTGCAAAAGAGATGAAACATTGAGAAGCAGCTCCCTGTGAGATAAATTAGTTCTTTGGCAAAGAATATTTGTTTCTTCTCAGAAATACCTGAAAATAACCTTCCCCTGGACAGCTGGATTGTTGTGCAATCCCCAAAGCTGTTTTATTCAACTTAATTAGAAGTGAAAAAAAAAAAAATTAAAACAATTACAATAATCTCAGCTATGCAAAAACAACATAATAGGAACATTTTAAAAATGAGAAAACATACCAACAAACGAAACCAACAATTCAACCATCCATTTCAAACACACAGAAGGATATATCTGGTAGGGCTACAGCAAACTAATACCCACTTCTAAAACTCTAAATATATTCAAACACAAAAAAAATACTAGATGATTTTGCACACTTCTGATAAAAATTTGAAAACAATTGTATTACTACTGTGTCAGCCTGAAAAAAAAAAAAATTTCCAAGTATTTTCTCTAATGATTCAGTTAATTTCTGTGTTAAGAAACCAAAACACATCTGTCTTCTATCAAAGCAAATCTATGTTCTAAAAACACATCCATAGTTTGAGGTACACACTAACAGAGACACACACACAAAAACATACAAGCAATTCAGGTCTGCCTCAGTATGCCTATCTCATGAACTTGTGACCAAATGGCCACAGGGAATATAATTATACGACATATAAAGTAATTCTTACAGAATCCTGTATGTTGAAAGTTACTCTTGGCCCAGGAGACGCAGCATCCACACGGATATCTGGGAGGTCTTCACTGTCTCCTAGTCGAGAGCTATAAGCAAAAGCAAAATCAGAACACAACAGATTATTGAATTTTACTACAGGATTTTATGTTCATGCAAACATTTATTCCCTTATGTTTGTGTAGTTAAACAAGTACAGTCAGTACTTATGAGTTTGTTATGGAAGAAAGTATAAAATCGTAATTGAAGCACTTAGGGTACAAAGTAGGGGGAGAAGGAAACTCCACATTACTTAGCCAGTAGTCTATCACTAGCCAATCTCTGCTTATTTCTTTATGCAAGTTTTTCAATCCTGAGCCAACATGCAGAAATTACAGAAAAATAAGATATTTGTGATCTTCCACACGGGACATAAAGCAAGTTGGCAGATTATGTACTCTGTGATGCAAGTGAAACACATTATTTGGCCTTATAGTATATGCATACTACTTTTCATTCACAACAAAAGTACTTATTAATTTTTTCAGAACTTTGTGTTTTTTATAGAGCAACAGAAAAGCCCCATTATCTTTTCCATACAATTTCTGGTTCTCTTCAGATAACCTTGTGAAAAGGTAAAATGAAAGTGGTTTTCATCTGACAGATCTTGAACTAGAACCTTCATGCCTTCAACACTTGTTCTGCTTTAATTATCAAGAATGCTAATTAATTCAGAAGAAAGATTCCTTTTCAAGTTCACCCTGAAAAATTCACTTTAGAGTATTTATAAAGCTGGTTTTGTGCTGGAATATCTGCTGTCTGATATTTTCACATCTGGATTATTTATAAATTTCTATTCACTTCTACAGAAGTATTCAAATTTGAAGCAAATTCATATTAAGAATTTCTATTCTCATAGTCCAAAGAATTCTACCACTAAAAAACAGTCTGAAGAATTCTAACACTCCTCTCTACCTTTTTAATTTTCAATTCTTTTATATTTAATACATAATAATGTAGCACATTTTTAATTCCAAACTTTGAATGCTTCAGCTGGATCTACAGGAGCAATGGACTCAAACACATGTATTCTAAAACCAATGCAAACACTTTACTAGGAGGCATCATTATACAACCACAGTTTGCTCAGTAGCCATTAAATGATGAAACAAAACCAATACATGTTATACAAGTGAAGAGATTAAAAGAAAATTATCATTCACAAAAAAAAAGAATCTCCCTTTCTTCTTCTCCTTACAACAGTCCCTTTTTGAAGGCAGATGATTGCAAAACAAGCGTAGAAATTGAAATGATTACACTATGCTGTTTTTCCTTATATATGTTTCTTCAGTATGTCTTGAAATTGTGTAGAAAACCCTAAGTTGTTGTAGAAGTGGAAACTTCTCCTTGTTTGGCATACTACTAAGTCTTTCAAAAAGAAGTTTCAAAAAAAGGTGAAAAGTTGCGTTTTAGAACATGCCCGTCTTCCAAAATGATCTCCTCCTATCCAGTTCTACCACATACAGCCACTGCCTCTAGAAAAAGGACTCTTAGGGCCGAAGTCCAATGTCTCCGCTGTTACATATGCTGTTATTGCTATCACAGATCTCAAATTGCCAGAAGCTTACCTTGTTCTGTCCATTCTCTTCAGAGGTGGTCTTCCTGATGCTGAAATACTCTTAGATCGGCTATAGCTGGGTTTGTAGCTGAGACCCCATTTGTCTTTCAAGGAGGCAGCCTAAAACAAAAATAGTATTTCAATTTAGCAACTGAGAACACAGACAAAAACTCTGGTAAGCTAAAATACTATTTTACACAAGTGTGCCAGTAAAGTAAAAAGATTTTTTTGGTCCATAATAGCTAAAATGCATCTCTTATCAGCATTTGTCAGCATCTTCATCTTGCCTCTGGATATGGGTTCACTTTTCAGACTTGCTGGAATTGCTACTGTCCTGTTGCCAGGAGAAAAGTATACCCAAAGCTAATAATCTGACCACTTCAACAGACACCCTTCCTAGCTACCACTACAGTGACAGAAGAACATGAACTAAAATGAGAGCACCTGAGAAAGAGCTGCAAACAGATTACTATTTGAAAGATCTTTTCTTATTAATGAAGCATCATACTTGGAGCTCATGCACTAGGACACACTGAAAATAATGTTTTGACAGGTTTGTTATCAAGGTCTGGGACAACAGCCACATATGTTTGTTGATTACCAGCAAAACTGCTTGGTTTTTGTCCAGTCTCTTCTTGTGTCTATGCTTAGTGGCTTGTTTTAATTTTTACATCACTTAACTCTGCAAATATACTGTTTATTTACATATAGAACGTACTTAATAGAAAGCACACATGCCAAGTGGAATACAATAGGTATCTATCATTTGCCCAGGCAGTTAAGAGGGTTGCCTCTGCATCTACATTCATCGGTCCAATAAGGAATCATTTTAAAATCCGCTAAGAGGAGTAAATGACATCTTCAGATACATATTTTCTGACTATTTCTTGTAAGTGTGCAAATAAACCCATTTACATCATAATATCTGTTATCTGTGAAATTTCAGTTCTCCTATCACCATTATTACAAGGCTATTTGAACTATTTGATTTTCTTAACCTTCCTTTGCCATTACTAACATTTTCTTTGCTTTAATCAACAGGCAGAAAAGAAATATGCAACACAAGTGCTAACATATTTTTAAAGTAACTTAATACTGCTCACCCTCATGCTGGATCTACGTAGCTTTTTACGAACATCTCGGCGGATATCATTCACAGCCACCGACTCCAGTTGCTGATATCGCTGAATTTCTTGATTTATAGTTCCTTCACTTGCACCTAATTTTCTGTGGATAAATCATGGTTGAGTTATCTCACAAATAAGTGACATTATTTTCACCATTTCAAAATCTGTGTTGCAATGATGTTCTGCTTTCCCTGGGAATTATCCCATTTTGTCATTTTTTTTCAGTAGTTACTTATGACCAGTGTCAAATATAGCTGCAGAAGATGTTTCATGATACGACTTTTTGCCAGGAATAATATTTTGAGGGCTCTTTGATTTTAAAGTTTCTGTCTCCAAGTGACTTAGCAGAGCAGATAGAAGATGTAGGACAAACTATCATGCAAAAAGACCCCAAATCAACAGGATGAAGAAAAATCCTCCTGCTGTAACAGTCCAAAGCCCTGGCACGCCACTGACAGCCTTCTGTAGCAGATTACAGATTTTTAAAAATTATTTAGTGGTGTGTTTTTTCTGCAGAAGGTAAAGCAATTGCTATTTTGAAAGAATCACAGTTTACTAGGGCATTCATAAAATGAGAAAAGGCAGGCATAAAACATAATTTCGATTCTTGAACTCATATTGACGAAACATTTAACCTAAAATCCAAAGTTCAGATACAATTGCCCTCTGAATGGTGACAGCAATTTTATTCCAAGTACAAGCAGTAAAACATGTTGCTTCATTATTTAACACAAAATTACCAAGCTCTGTATTCCCATCCCAGACAGATCCATTTATAGTAATTAAGTCTGTCTTAGGGAAGGGAGGTGGGGGGAAGGCAAGCTCAACAAACCATGACTGCAAAAAATTATTAACAAAATTCATAAAAGAACTTCAGATGAAATTTATGAAGTTTGAAATAAAACTCCTATGCTGTACTTAAGAAAACCCTGAAGAAAGAATTAATTTTAAAATATCACCTACAAGATACAAAACATAGTCAATTTAAATATTTTTCTTCTTCTTCCAGTGAACAAGACTAAGGTTACAATTACAAAGTAATGTATTTTGTTAAAGTAATCATCATGATAATAAATCAAGATGAAACTATGATTTTGAATCAATAGCAAATTGATTATAATTAGCCATTCTAATGCAAAACCAGAAAGAACATAGACTAATTTGACACTTGGGAAAGAACTTGAGAAATTTGAGAGAGTACTTGCATATATAGTTTTTTCTCATGGAATCCAAAAGTACAATTTTTATTTTTAAGACAAGACAATGATTTCCACTTGACCATCACAATGCCACAAGATATGCGATAAGAACAGTGAAGAAAAAAAGCCAGCTGCAGTTTGTTATTCCCAAACTTTGTGCAAGTTAAAGTAAAACCCAACTTACTTTAAGTCATCAATGACTTTAGCTTGCTCATTGAGTTCTCTAATATCAACTAAACGTTTCACAAATTTTCTTCCTCGCTGTTCTCCAGTTTGGATACTAGAAGCTCCTTGCCGGCGGTGATCAACAATCTCCTATTTAAAAAAAAAATTAAAAAAATTTCTAATTAATGCCCTCATCAAAAATTGGATGTTACTATGATTTAACAATAGGCAAAGTGAATTTCACACCTTCAAATTTGGACTAGTGCATGCAAAAAATCAGTTTCGTCTCAAAAGGCAGCTGATTGGATTTTTTCCAGTGATCCAGACCCCATCATTCAGTTAGACACATTGTAACTACTACATACATGTCCCCATGAGCAGGATCTGCCTGCTTTCATGTGTGATCTGCTAGACTGAAGAGAATCACACTTCGCTGACCCCAATAGATATTCTACAGGAACAGAGTATCGATGGTTTGGGGGGCTCAAACCCAGTAGGTGATTTACAATCCGCTGCCCAAACGTTAGCTTGCGTGCATCTCCACATAATGAACCTCCACCTGATTTCTAAACAACAAACAGGAACATTAGTGTTTTGGGAAAACGTTTTCACTGTTGGCCGGTAAGAGACATTTAAGATAGCCATTAAAGAACATCTGTTAATATGTTTTTATGTGAAACAAAAAAGCAAGGTCAGCAGTATATTGGGTAGAAGTACCAAAAAAGAATTTTTTGTAATTTGCTCATGTTAGTAACTTACTTTCCTGCTACAAAAAAAAAAATCTATCTACAGCTACAGCTTTTCCAATTCAGGTACCTGAAGTTAGGTATTGTGTCTCCATATTTTCAGATCCAGATTGGTATTTCCACGTAACACCAGTAGAAATATGATCTGTGATGCCTTTGAAATATGGAGTTAGAAAACTAACACACAAACTTTTTTGATTTGCAACAAGAGTTATATGAGCTGTAAGGAGTAGCATGCTGGACAACTCAAGACTAAGATCTTTCCATTTGACTGAAGACTTTGTCATGCCTTTTCGAATTAGTAGCACTTATTTCGGTTGTTGATTCACTTACTGCATGTATAGTGGGAGACATAGTGTCAACTTCATCCTCATCTGAAAGGTCAGCTATGTTTACAGAGTTGAGGTCAGCAATATCATCAATATCTTCTTCTCCTGTCAATGTTGTGAGTGTGTTGCCTAAAGCATTCAGTCTTTTCCCAATGTTTGGATCCATGTGGACATCAATACCACACATCTTCCATAACACATTCAGTGTCCAGGTTCCAGCACTACTACTTTCTGTATTAAAAAAAAAAGTTTAACCAGTTTTTACATTTTTAAAAAATGCCCCACGCTGAGTTATGTATTAGTCAACAGTGTTTATCGGTTACAAAGAACAAACTTTTCTGCCCACTCTGATAAAAATACATTCCACAACTGAAAATGCTCGCTGGAAGTACTTCACAGCTACCAAGTTAGTATTTCATGAACAAGTGATGTACACACACAAACCTAATGAAAATACATTCCCTTCAGCCAAGCTGATGACCAGGAAAGAGCATCTCAAACTTCAGCTCTTACAACTGCAGCCAAGTGTACTATTCCAGAACAGGATTTTTAACAGCAAGAAACCTAAAGGATGTCTATCTGCATGTAAAAATGCTGACCTATTTACTGTTTCAAGTCTTGAATAATGATGCTGGAAAATGTTCTTATATGTGTAATGTGCCTGCTGAATACCCTGTCTTCCCAGAATTTTTATGAGTGCCACCTTTCAGCATCAAAATACAGAACTTGCTTTAAGCAGAACTACAGAAGATACTGGTTTTCCTTCTAAATAGATTCATCCTGGTTTTCACCATTCACAATTCCATGCGAGGTAAATTTTTAGTAGTTGCAGCATGTGTTTCATTTTTATGTCTCCTCAGCACAAAAAAACCAAGCTAGGGACAATGAGCAAAACTACAGGGACAGGAGACACCAAAGATGCGACGTTTGGGCAAAGAGATGAGAAGCAGCAAGCAGCAGGTATGATGACCAAAGACAGAGATTGCAAGGTATTTTGGGGGCCTCTGGACAACATCCAAACAACTCAGTAGGAGAGACTGGGAAGAGACGGAGTTTGGGAAGAATAAAAGCCATCCCTGGAAGAGGTGAGGGAGGAATGGGAGCTCAGGATGCAAAGTCTCAGCATTAGAAGGACTGGAAGACTTCGCAGTCTCTAGGACAGAAAGCAGTAGGACAACATTGCTGTTATAAAGGACTGTTGTCCAACCAAGGAACAAACACATACACACTGTGTGTTCTCCTGCAGGTAAAAACCTAAAACCAGTGTTGCTGATGAGATTCAAAACCTGGAACAGCTTGAAAAGATGGACCAGAGAAAAACATTGAGGAGTTTTACCAGGAAAACAAGATATTAAACAAAACAAAAAAACAAGCCACCAATTAAATTACATCACAATTAAGGGATTTATATTTCATATTTTTTGAATGCTTTATTTAGCTAGAACTTGATTTATTTCAGAAAGTGTATTACCTGCTGCAGCCTGTCCTGTTGTCCTAGAACATACTTCATACGTACCATCTGGCACAACACCTATATAAAGCATATGAAGCACATACAGTGATTAGGCAAAGTTGCTTTGGACCAGTCCTTCCAATCCCACCTCAGTCTCTTGCCCTCCGCAATTAAAGCATGAGTAATGTTGGATAGGAGGTTTAGTTTTAATTCCCATTGAATGACTTTTCTTATTTAGGAAAGTGAATCTACTTGGTAACATCCAAGTTTATATCAACTTAAAATTCCATATAAATTCTAGAATCTTCACCATAATGAAAGACACACATAAAAATAAAAATCAGCTATATTAAACTGTTAAAAACTTACTGGGATCTTATGAAATTATATAAAAGCAATGCATCCAACGCTTCCAACATCTCTCAGACAGAACTTAAATGCTTACAATGTGACATATAGCAACAAAGTTTATTAATAAAGGAAAACAAAGAAATACAATCTTTTAGATCCATCTTATTTTGCTTTCAAAAGGCCAAACTCTTTTCTTTATCTCTTTTTTGGAAAAGTTCAGCAGTTTTACAAGTCATGGGAAATGGTAAAAGTGGATTTATATCTGAAATACTATTGTCCAGTACGAAATCACACCCACTTACATGCATTCATGACTAGATCTCCTCTTATTTCAGGTTTCCAGTCATCCCAACTTGTCTCAAAGCCATCAGCAAAGCGGATACAGAAGTTTTTAAAGTGACCTTTGCTAACTAAAGACTCTGAGGAGCAGGCAGTGATTAACGTGCTTTCAATAGTCAGGACTAAAGCAGAGCCAGTGTCAAGATCTGCAGTGTGGTTAGACTGGAAAATAAAAACACAGAGAGAATTTACTGGTCATTCCAATGTCAAAGTGGTATTGTACATGCGTTAAATGATGTTTTCCTATTAGAAAACTGATCCCCTTCTTCTATCTCCTTGTATTTTTCCTTCTCTGCAGCAAGTTTCAAAAGCATCACACCTGTCCGTAGAATGTCTTGCATTGTTGTTTCTTAAATGCAACACCTATTTTGTAAATATATTAGGGCACCGGCAGTCAGGCTTATCTGGGAAAGGAAAGAAAACCCATGTTTGATCAAGGACTAGATGACCAAGGGCTATGAACCATATGACTCCACGACCACAGAACACAAGCCTAGGATTGATTCTTTTCTCGAAGAAGGGTTGCACATGAGTTGATTGAACAAGGATAAAAAATAGTTTTAATTTTTATGTGATTTTTTTGGTGCTTATTTTGATATCTACAATATTGCAAAGTCTTAAATACACAGATTGACTGATTATTTTCCAGTCCTTTGTATATGAAGGCCTATAATTTTGTTTACCTGCAAAAAAGCCTATATATTCCCTTTTATAAAGCTAGACTCCTTTTGATCCATCATAAGTATTGTAAACATGCTATTCTATATACAGCTTAAGACTTCATAAGACAGAATATATTTTTCATAATTTACTATTCATTTGTAACACCTAAGAGCATAAAACACCATCTGCTTTGTCCATAGCTGCCAGATAGAAGATTCACAATCAAAATGTTATGTCATTATGACTTCTAGGTTATTGGTGTCACTACTCCTTCACATTTCTATGTGTTATGACTATTTCCTTCTACATCATTAAAATGATTCACTCCTGTTCTGGAATTTTTCCCCATTAAGAAAACTCCCAGTTCAACATAGGAACAGTCTCTGAATCCAAGGTTTTCTCTCAAAGCCATCTAACATTATCTATCCTAATAATGCTCCACTGCTTTATGTATTTTTTAAACTGCTGTCAACTGGCAATGTAATATTTTCAATTTTATACTTAAGAGGTGCAAATCACACCTTCACCTTATATATGAAGAGACAGGCATAACTGCAGTCATTTCTAAGAAGGGAAGAACAGAGGGAATATAGGTCTGCACAGAATTGTTTTTTAACTGAGAATAAGCAGAGATTTTCAAGAAAGCTAGGTCCACTGATTTAGGTATTTTCCTCTCTATCTGAAGAACAAAGAATATACAGAGCTAAATATCAAATTGGGGAATGTGTTGGATTGTGTTGCATTGGTTGTCAAGAAACTCAGCAAACTGCACAGCCAACAAAGGAGGAGCTGCATGGCCACAAAGCATTACCCTGGGAATGCGGTACTGAGCCATTCATAATTAAACTTAAAGATATTCCAGAAACATCATGCAGTGCATATTCACTTACAAAACAAGTTGTATTAACACACTGCACAATGCAGTGTATAAGAATTACTTTAATACAGAAACTAGTTAACTGCACAATATAGAATACATCATCCTGTGTAACATATTAGACTTATCCTGTACTACAGTGATATACTTTTTGTCAATGACTGCATTTTAAATTTCTTTAACCCAGTCTGAGTTCCTAAATAAAAGTAACTGTTTAAAAAACATATATCTATATATCTCAAATAGTTATTCATACTCTCATTCCTTGTTTTAATTAAGCAAACGAGTTGGAACATCACATTAAATCCAACACTTTTCAGAGTTTTTCTATCTATAATCATATGAAAAATAAAGGATTAATTGGATTTTGTGATGGAAGTTTTCAAGAAAGTATGTTCCATCTGAAACATTTCCAAGGACTTTCCAAAGTGCTGAGCTCATATGTGGTGTAAACAAGAATCCATTATGTTTCCCCAAAACATGCACACCAATTGAAACATGCATAACCTAGTTCTATAAATGAGAACACCATTTCTATTACAAGCAATGTCACTAGTGCAATTATCAGCATCCTATGACTTTTGCGTTGATGTGATGAAAAAACTACATTTACAGACATAAAAGCTACGTACCACATACAAATGGATATTTCTAAAGACTACTAATAGTCACGTTGCTTCAGACATTTTGATTACCTGAGGTGTGTTCGTGATGGGCAGGCAAATTCCCAAGTCATTGACAGTCAGCTGAAGAAAGAGGGTCCCAAAAGCCTGTGCAGAGGTTTGTTGGATTCCAGGCAGCATATCTACTACCTCTTTTGTGGCCATATGAATATCTTTATGTAAAGCCATTCTCTGTTCATTCCAGTTGTCATACGCAGCCTTGTAGTTCAGCCAAAATAGCACAGCTTTATGAAAAAAACAGAAACGTTTATTTGAAATCAAGACATTAAAAAAAAAAAATTTTAAAATGCACATTCACTAAAGTTCTTTTAATTTTTATGGTTTCTCCACTACTTTAAGAGAGTGGATGCCCAACAATGGACACACACACATATTTAGGATGTAGCGAAGAGGCTCATGCTGCAAAGGACAGGATGGACAAAGCCAATCATTTAGCATTGAAGTTAACAAGTTAAAATACAGAAAGCAATGCTGTTCTCAGCATTATTCATTTGTGAAGACTTACAAAAGCAGCTTCCTCCAAACCATCTGAAAACTAATCACCTCAGCAAAAGGAATTTTTGCCATTAGGAATTATTAACCTGTTGGCATGCAGTAGATCTCCTAATTTCTCAGCTACCTAACATTTTGATTTAACATGAAATATATTAAATCTTAAATAATCAAGCCTCTTTGGAAAAAAAAATATATATATATATAGCTTCCTCAGTACGAAGACAAATTTGCAGCAATTGTCTCTTCAATACCTCTATCAAAGGCCACAGGCTGAGCAAAAACAATTGGTCTGTTCAAAGTAATGAGCACAGCTTCTCTATCTGATGACCCGCTAATTTCTTCTCGGAGAGCATTTCTTAATCCAATTCTTGTCTTGAAATAGGCAACTTGATGAAAGTCTGAGCCAGCTTCTTCATAAACCTTAAAATGTTCAAAACATAGGAAGGGGAAGGAGTTTGCAGCAGGAAGGAGTTCAGGGATGGGGGGGGGGGGGGGGGCATAGAGAACAAACAAAACCTCAAATTACAGCATTTGACAAAATGTAAAATTACAACAAGAAGTAAAGATGTCTCCTTTCCGGTTTTTTCTCTTTTAGCCAAAGCTCCTTTGGGGATATTCAATTTTCTTACATTAAATTCTGATTGCAGTGTTATTTCCCTTATTTATCATAAAATGTTAACTAAAATAACTGTTTATATATCCAGATCCTCTATTGTGACAGTACATTTATAGGTTCTAAGATTTGTATTTGTTTGTTTCTAGGCATCACAAAACACTTTCATATCATAGAATTAGTGATTCTAGGTAACACTGGGTTTAAGAGTACAAGAGAAAAAACTGTCGAACTAAGACAAACTAGGTCAAAATGTAGGTCTAGCCAAGTTTGGATCTTGACTGATCTTATTATTTCATTCATGTACCCTAAAAATAATAGCAGTATCAACAAAAATTTTGAATTTGACTCAGTTAGCAAGGCCTGTTGCAAAGGGCTAATTAGTTCTAAGATATTAATAACATGGGGAGGGAAGCCCCCATACTTGACTCCTTCCATCTTTCATGCACGTACACTAGCCTTCATAATGAAGACTTGCTAATTCTTCTGAAAAGTCATCTTCTGAAAAGTCATCTTCAGTCCCTTCTTGACTCAAATGAGAAAATTTATTTTGAACAATTATGTAATATGCGTATTCAGGAAGTAAATTTCCACAACTGTGTGCTTCAGAATGCTTAAAGTTTTATTAAAAAAAAAGCTGAAAAAAACAACCAACAAGTTCAAAAAAAAAAAAACCCACCAACCAAAAACCAACACCCTCCCCAGCCTCCCTACATTTTACACTCACTCCATAGCCAGATCAGAAAAAAACTGGCAATGTAAGACAGCCTCTTGGCTTGGTTATGTATTTTTAAATCACACGCTATTAAGAACACCACATGCAAAGATGTTGAGTACTAACCTGATGTTTAACAATCTGTCCTAGTGCCAGATTTAAATCCACCTGGCATTTCCCAAACAGTTTGAGGTAGCTGCTACTTCCAGGCATTGCTTTGGTTTGCAACCTGTTTGAGAGTTCAAGTTCTATCAATCCAGTTTCAAATCTCACAGCTCGCATTGAGGGAGTTGTAGCTGTCACCTGAATTCCCTAAAGAATAAGGAAGGTACAAAGTTATTAGGATCTGGTTCATACACATAAAGAGACAGGGAAAAAAAAAAAAGAAAAAACCCAACCAAAAAACCCAATAGAAAACCCTTTTCACTGTGCAGCAAAAAAAGAGGATATAATTGTTTTTCAGAATGCAATGATGCTAAGCTATTTTAAAATAAGATTACAGGAACCAAACTCAAGGATTTTCTTCTTCATGCAGAGTATTCCTGATTCAATAAGCTTTGAAGGTAAAAAGCTGAAAGCCATTAATAGCATCTAGGACCACTGTTCTGTCAAGATAAGATTACCTTAAACTGTAGGCTCAATGAGTAAAGAAGAATTTTTGGTTTTTCTCCATCAGTTGTGCCATCATGTTCATTCCAAAGAGGTATTGGCTGCTCCCCTCCTGTACGCATTAAATGTACACATTCAGAGTTTTAACAAAGAAAACATTTTGTAACAAATAGATATTAAAAAGGTGACAATTAATTAAGCCTCATTTTAAACAGTGACTAGTTGAAGATTTATAAAAACAAATATAGGTTGAAGACGGAAGACATCAGTACAGATTCAGCTTGTTACATATAGTTCATAGCTCTCTAATAAGCAGAGGAAGACAGTCATGTTCCTCCCTCCTAGGAAACTCTCCACAGGAAGGCTCAAAGCCTGTATGGAGTAACACCTAGTTTTCAAAAAGATATTCTTTGTCTCCTGCACCAATGTATCTCCTAATTATCTGACAATAAAAATTAAACACTTGACCAAATGCTGTGCAAATTGCATGAAAAGAGGAATTGAAATTATATCGGTATTTTTCAATGCAGGAGGAAAGAGTATTCTGCGGTTATTTTATTTTTGTATTTACTTTCTCATCCTGGCACATTTCATCCCAAGTAACATATCCCCATAGGCTCTAACCTGAAGGAGCAATCCTGGTTTAAATTCTCCTTGAGATTTGATCTATATTCAATCTTAGCTTATAGTAAGGGCTTGCTGCTGGAAAAGGTTAAGCCATTAATTCTCTCCATATATGCCAATTCTTCTAATTACAGTTATTTGGTGGTAAAAATAGGCAGTTAAATAATGGATTACAAAAAAAACCCAAACTACAACAGTAAATTTTTATCACTTCATTTTGTATCTGGATGTTTTTCTTTTCCAAATAGCCTTAATCATCTCCACCTCTTTTTATTTTTTTCCTCCCCAAATATTCTTAACTAGGATCACATAAAACTACAATGGTAACATAAGGGTTCTGAGCAAGAGAACTAACTCATCTTTCATATATTGTCCACATGCATATTTAGGGGCTATTTTTGCAATGACATTTCTTCATGAAGTTTGTAAAGCATTTGCCGGTTAAAAAAAAAGAAACAAGAAAAGAGATATTACTTTTAAATAAAATTTCTCCATCTACCCTCTCACTTAAGGGAGCATAATTTTCTTGAATGAAACTACATTAGAAGTTGGATTTCAATCTTTATATAAACCAGTGCAAAAAGTCATACGAGTTTTAAAGCGGACACCAGGTGTCTTTAAATCAATGCTGCCCTCAACTTGCAGATGGCATTATTATGAACTGCTCTGTTCATTAACTAGCTTTTAATCTGTGAAACTTCACCATAAGTAATGGGTACTTACCCAGTTTTTATATAAGGATAATATGCAATCAATATTTTAGTTTCACTGAAACCATAATTAGAAAAACCACTTTAGTGTATTACACTAATTGGAATTTTCAAGCCATGTAAATTACTTTGCTGCAAATCAGAAGGACAAAAGCTATTTTCCACCCGCATTGTTCTGCATTCAGCACCCAGACCCATGTGCTGAATTACCACAACAGTTAAGGTAGCAGTCACATTTCAAAACCATCAGGCTGCTACTTGCAATACAAATTTATAGTCTGGAAAAGCAAAGAACCAGCAACGGCAATAAATTCCTCACATAAAAACATAGGAGAGATTGGACTCTAGAGACTGAGAAATGTTGTAAAACAAATCTAATATAGGTTTTCCATTTTACCACTTTATGCTCCTCTATAAAAATTGTTCTAATAGAATAATGACAGCTGTTGAAGGTTTATACTTCCCCTAAGCATTCTCTTTCTTACTACCCAATGCCAATATATTTTGCCTGGAACCAACATCATGGTGTTTAAAATTTGTTTCTTCTTATCCTTTAGGGATTCTCCCATTTTCCATTTTCTCCACTCCCTCTAACTCCCTTGAGGGCATGTCATCTGGACCTGCACATTTCTTTTATGTACATCTGTATGCAAGAATATATATACACACATGCACAGAGGTAGATGAAAGGAGTGTGTAGATGTACACAGAGACACTCTTTTCACTTAGTTACTACTCTCTAGTTTTTTTCGTCTTTCCTCATGATGTTTCCAACTATTAATGAATCTTTACACAAAAAATAGCTATATTTCTATAAATAGCCTTTTAGCATAAATCAAAAAGTGTTAAAAATAAACTACTTGACATTTCACCTGGTTTGAATATTTATTCACATTGGTCATCCTGTAACATTCTCTCCGAAACATACATCCTTCCTCCTCTCATTCATTTACTCTTTACCCCCATCTGCCAATTCCTATTTCGACCTAAAGAGCAACAACACACTTCTACAGTTCTTTAATTATTTGTTTTTCTGCTCTTCTCCTCATCCGTCATGTAACATCCACAGTAAATCATATTCCTGTATTTTTTTAAAAACTACCAAACAATAACTAATGTGTCAAACAAAGCTTCCAGTCTTTACATTTCCCCTCAGAGTAGTCACATATTATAAAAAAATAGTATAATTTTGTACTATTTTTTCCAGCGCATAGGGTGATAGAACTTCTTTGCTGAGTGAAACATCATTGCATGGCACAAGTTATTGGCTTTTTGGTCTGCTTTCAGTTCTTGAACACAGACCAAGTCTGTAACAGTAAGAACTAGAAAGTGAGCAGATCTGTTTTTAAATGCTGCACAAACTGATTCAGTCAGATAGACACGAGTTTTTTTTATGTAAAGAAATAAATGTTTTGTAATTTTGGCTGTCTACTCAAGCAGATGAACGTACAATTTGGTATGCAGTTTCCATTGCATACTGCAAAAGAGAGAGCACTAAGAGATTTTGCAACTGTTCTCTAATTCGGTTTTTAATGACAACACTATTTTTCCTTTGAAAATTTTTTGAGAACAGAAGCCAGCCTAAATGACAGAAACAAAACAGTCCAGTATTATGTAGTACACAGCATGATGCACAAAACAATCTAATGAATAACCAAATGCCTTTTTCATACAGTTCCAAAACATGTTATCTGCAAAGAATCGAAGAGCTAGGAATCAGGAGACACTAAATAATACCGATATTGACACTATTTTCCCCAGACACAGCTGTTTTACTTTAAAAGAATATGGTGACATTATTTTACAAAATGCAGTATCACAATCTGCAATTTAGAGGTGAACAAAGTGAATACAGAAAGTAACCCGGCCAAGCTCATGTCATAGACACAGAAGCTAGTGTCCAGAATGACAAGCTATCCTCCTTCCCAATAAAACGTCTTGTTTCTGATACAGCTACAAAAATTTCCAGTCTCTCTTACTACTTCAAACTCCAGCTCTGCTCCTTGCTTTTTGCTGCTGCTTGAAGTGCTAGATGTGAAATGATGATGTGTCTGTGAAACAAATAGCCGATCCCAAGAACTACATAATGTTGCCATCAAACAAAGTTTAAGGATCTTAAAGTTGGTTTTAAATGCTCTGCTTACCTGAAACCTTCTGTATGACTTCATTTACTTCCTTCATGAACACTTTTTGCACAAATACTAAATGATTTAAAAGGTCAGTTGTGAGATTATGTTCGAAGGAACCAACCTGCAGAAATATAAAATTTTAGAAAAAAAAACTTTAAAACAGTTACCATATCTATGTTTTCAAAACAATTATTTTTTAGTTTTCAGGCACATCTTTTCAAGTCCAATTATATTGTTATTGGTATAAAAAAAGAATATTAAATAGTTTTGTCTTGCAATTTTTCTGCTCCAAATGCCTATCAGAAAACTGAAGGACATACACTATTATATAAAAAAGTTTTTTCTCCTGCTTAAGTTCAGCTTAGACAATAAAATGCAGGACTTGATTAAGGTTCATGGAAGTATGTGAAATGCTACTTAATTCCAGATAGTAAATCATTATTAGAACAAAACAGAAATGAGCTGTCAACCTCTAAAAGTACATTATTCTAGTCACTACAGATGAACAAGTTTACTGAGATCTTAAATGGTAAACTACTTATGTGTCCAATCCAATCTTAAAGAATATTCCTAAAGAACTGAAATCTGCCTAAGATTGTTTAAATTTTCCATTAAAATTTTTTAAATAAAAATAAAATACAGATGTTTTCTATAACTACTTGGACTTGGCATTTGCCTTTGCTAAGCTACCCCTCTCTTTTGTTTTACATGCTGAACAAATTCAAAGACCCTAAGGCCTTTCTTTAGCCAGGAAATAACTCAAATGGGTTGAACAAAGAGCAGCACCTAATTAAACTTCTCCAATAAAGATGCAAACATCAGAAGTCTCAATTACAAACATGCTAGACTATTTTTCTGACTAAAGAAATAGTTAGTAGAAAAGTCCCATTTTTCTCCACCAGATAGGTTTCTTTTAAGCAGCATCAGTTTTCTCTCTGTGAAAAGTAACTGTGGAAATTGGCACACAAATAAAGTTTGTGAGTAGAACACTCTGTGTCGAACAGAAAATTTTATATAATTTACTAAGGTTATATATAGCGTCTCCTATCTATGGAGCTGTCTAATCATGAAAAAATAAAACAGTTATGAAACACTAAAATAATTTTTTAAATTTTTCAGTATTTCTTTTTGCAAAATATACACATTATGTGAATCATCAGCATAATATACTTTTGTCTACTTCACTGATGAGAAATATTGTCATTCCAAAAAAAGTTTCTAAACATATCTTCCTTATTTATTTGCACAAAAGAGCATATTCAAATTCCTCCGATATAATGGTCTTGACTGCTTAATATGTTCGCTGCTCATCAAATTAAGTACTGAGAAAGTTCTATTTCAGTGCCACGCAATTACAAATGCTATATTTGGATCAACCTGTAACCTGAGAGTTCTGGAGTAGGCATATTATTAATATAATATGAAGATGCACATACAGAAACTAGCAGAATGGAAACAACTCAACAAGTTATCAAAGATGACTACAGTCTTCAACACCTACTTCAGCCACACAGCGTAAGTAGTTCCCCTGCAGATAATAGCCTTGCTTAGCAGGTAGTTCATCTATGCTCCAAATTTGGTCTGAGTAAGTATCGTGTTCTTCCATGATATATTTGCCTGACATAGTGACAGGAGGAAGGTTGAGACTCGCTGAAGGAGGAATGGTCGACATATCAGTGGCAGAGACTTTTGAAGTGAAGCGCAATCTGTGACTTGGAAGCTCAAAATTAAATCTAGTTTGGGCACCTGTAAAAGGAAGACCAGGAAAGAAAAGCTATGAACTGGCCAAAGGATCTTTTTTTTATCCTTAAATTTAAAAACAATTTTGGAATTTAAAAGAAAAAAAAATATCTTTAAACTGTTATTGAAGTGCACAGACCTCCAGAGCTATAAATATCCACATAAATGATTCTGAGGTTTCTTAGTTTTTAAAGAAAATTAAGACTTCACTGTAATCAGATGGAGAAGGGAGTCATACAAACTACCTCATGTGTACTGAGGTCCTATAAGAGTATTCTCAGGTAGCCTTACGAATCTGAATTCAATTAATCAAGGATCATAAACTGATTTTAGTAGAGGTAAGCTTCCTGGGAGAAAGCTATATATGAATATATACATGTCTTCATCTGCTCTTGTATTCTGCCTCTGGCAATTGTGTAGAACAACAACAGCATAAATTTGCTATATGGCCCCATCTGATTGAAGTCCACATTAAAAAAAAGCTGATAGCAACACATTCAAAGCCCTAGCTATAATTCAACAGTAATATCAAGTCCTCTTGGATGCTTCCAGCAAGGCCAAACTAAAAGCCATAATGTTTTTAAAGTTTCAGAGAACTGTTACCTGTCATTCCGTGACTCCTCATTCTTCCCATCTTATATTCTGCCTTTAGAGAGGGCAAAAGCGCTGCTCCAATAGCTATACCATCTATCATGGCACTGAATTTAAGAACTATAGGCTTCTTTTCTAAGCCTTCTGGCAGCTGTGGAAATTCATTTGTTTCAACAGGTGTTTGATTAATACTTGTTGGAGTCTTTTCAGAGGGCAAAGGAGTCGCAACATCTTCTTTGGTAGGCTGGGGCCTAGTTACCAAGACAAAGATCAGAAAATACTTTTTGTTATTCTAACATGATATATGACTAGCCTGACTCTCCCACATACGTTCCAAGTAACACAAGCCCATAATTGGATGGCAACCAGTGACAGTTGGAAATGCCGTGCAAGCAGCACTTACGCAGTCGATGGTTGCCTGATGAGATCCGAAATCTGCTTGGAGAGCTGGTGAGAGCTGCGCACCATCATGCTGTGCAGTGTGGCAGGGTGCTGAGGAATGTTGATGCTGATGGCTCCAACTTTGACCACAGCAGCGTTGTTTGTTTTCAGCCCTCTCTGGGCACTATACAGGGCCTGGGATTTGGCAATACTGCATTTCACGACAGTTCTAACAGAAAAGGAAATAGGATTTATTTGCAAATCTTTTAAAACAGTTACAGTTTTAGGTTAAAATGGGTTTTTAAGTGTTAGCTGAATATTTAAGTATTCATATAAGTGATTTTGTTTATAAATTACATACACATTCCTTTTTCTTTCACTTTACACACACAGATGCACTACATGCCACAAACAACTACACTACATGTAAAGAGAACAAGTCATGCATTGCAAAAATATCTGTTAAATTGTTATTCTTGCATAATTTAAGATCATTTGAGTTTACACATACTAGGCTACACATACACAGACAAATTTTCACACATGGAAACAAGTAAGAGCCTTCCATTTCAGCTCCTTTTCAGGAAAATTCTTGAATCATCCTTTTCAGAAGAAGACTTAGTAAAATCTGATTTTAGCATCCGAAAAGGTCAATGGAGGAAATACTCACTTAGTAATAAATACATAGCAGTGATAAATGGGCTTGTGAATTAATATCAATGTTTAATTGACACAATAGTTACCCAAGATAAAAATACAACTGCACAAAGCTAACAGTTTCTGATGTCAAAATGAAATTTTGGCATATCAGAATTCACTAAGCTCCTCTTAAAAAGAGATACACGGGGTAACACATTAATGTTTCTCATCTAAAGTGAATTACTGGAGGGTTACTCAATGGAATTCTATTATGTAGCTAGCCCAGAATATTACAACCTCAAAGAGAAAGACATATAGTTGTGAAGATGCAGTACATTAGCTAAAATATCCGAAAAAAAGACTCTATAATAAATTGCCACATTCAGCGAAAGTTTGTCAATTACTGTATTTTAAGGAGCATAACTAAAATACTTTTTGTATCATGATTTAAATTGTTCTATAGACAATTTGGTTTCATGGTGAAAGCTACAATATTCCATGAATTCTGCTCCCTAAGTAATGTTTCTTCTGTGAAACCCTAACACAGGGCTCCTTATTCTGATGTTAAAATATCAGCTAGCCTGAAGCATCCTAGGTGTGGAAATATAAACAAACAAAAAAAAGATGACATCATCCTTCTGCTTATAATGAAGAAACGCACAGCACTGTAATGCAACCACAAGCCTATCAACAGCAGATGAATTTACTGAAGCACTAGGACCATTTTCAGTTTTTCGCAGCTACGCAAGAGCTACAAGCGACCTAAAGTGGTTATGGATTAATATTTTAGGGTAGACTACCAAGTAGAAATGATTTCAAAATATTTGAAGAATTTACACAAATATGAAGGAGGAAACAAATCTTAATTCCCAAGTATTTTCAGAAAAACATTATACAAATAAACATTACTTAAGTAAAAGGGCAGACTTCTTTTAATCCAGCTCTTTAAAAGAAAAACACATGATTATTTCTCTGTTGATGTTCGCTTATTTCCTACTCTCTTCCTGCTACCATTCTGACTGAACTATTGTGAAGTCAATCAAGAACACATTTTTTCCCCCCATCAATAAAACAAAAACACCACTACGTTAGCTATTCAAGCATCACAAGAACAACTTTCAACTTAAGGGAAGTTGCAAGATCTCCTCCCGTCCTGTACCAGACAGATGGTCTAGTCTTAACCTACCTTTGTGTAGAAGTTAAAAGTAAAAGTAGTTGGAGTTAAAGTCTGTACTGAACTTAACAATCAATTCCGAACATAGGAATTCATACCATTTTAAGCACTTCCTTAATTAAAAAAAAATTACACCAGTATAGCTGTCACAGGAGAATCAGATTTAGCAAGATTAACTGTGCTTCTCTGCTAAAGTATTTCCATATTTCACGCAACAAATGAATTTCACTGTCACTTGTCTGGTCTACCTAAAGCCTACTTCCATGCCAGAATGAAATGCAGAACAACTGTGCGCCTATACGTTTATTTGGAATGAGCACTGCACATTATATATCTGCAGTTTGCTTACCTACAGTCATATGCCTATAACAGATCTGGTTGAATATTATTAAAATCATTAATTGATATTTAAGTTATATACCAGTAATGCATTCAGAAGTAATTCTACGTTCTGCGATTCCATAAATACTTACTCTCCAGACAAACTTGTGAAAAAAGTCTTTGTCCCACTACAGAGCTGGCTACAAGGCCACCACTCAACCTAACAGATTTTTGGGAATGTTAGAAAAAGGGGGAAAAAACATCAGCAGGAGGCCTGTAACACACACAGGAACTACCACACTGAGCCCCATGAAAATTTGGGCAGTAGCTGATACTCAGGGCATAAGGTGATCCTTCCCCTAATTCCAGCCATCGGGGGTTTACTTTTTGAGCCAGAGGCTGTATTGTGTTCATGACTCACCATCAGACCTTTCCTACATGGATTTGTCCAGTCCTTTTAATCACATATACTTTTGTTGACCTCATCACATGGCAATGAATTCAACTGTTCAGTGACGCACTATGCAAAAAAGTACTTTCTTTTACTGGTTTAAGGGTGCTACCAGACAAAAAGGAACAAAAACCCATCTATTTTCTTTACATCACTTGCAGTTTTACATCACCTCTCCTTCCAGAGCTACCACCTATAAGGGCATTTTAAAGTTAATCCTGTATTATCACAACACTGAATATACACAAATGCTTTAACAAACAGCAGTTGTACTAAGTCCTTCTAAAAGATATGCACTAGTGGTCCAAAGTAGCAAAAGAAATTCATGCCGAGAGCGGGGGGGGGGGGAAGTGCCGAAATCACAGTTCTTGGCTACGTAACTTTTCTTGTCACTGTACTGCAGGGTCACTGTGTATCAGGGCTTCTAGGTTGCCAGTGTACCATTTCCCACCTTGACCGCTACTCCAGTGATACTCCCTGGGCTTTAGCATCACGAAGTAAGCAAGCAACTAGAATAAAAACAGTGCATCTTTTGTGAGAGAAAAGACCTACGCTCACACACACAGATCTGGGGGACCTGAAGAGGGTCACCTTCATTAGCAGTAGATCCACAGGCATAGTTTTAAGGAAAACATTTTGTGTTAGCATAACCTGGTCAGCACGCCTAGCAATTAAACCCAGCACAGAGGTAAAGACAGACAAAAGGAATAGTCCTATTCATGTTGAAATTGCAACAGGTACTACCACTTCAAGCACAGCAGTTCCTTACCAAGTTCGATGCAAATCTAACCTGCCCCTTTACATTTATCAGCATTATTTCACCTCATTAAAATAAGCATAGAAGCAGATCTAAAGAACTTAACAGCCAGTGAAACCATTCTAGCATTACAGTAGTGACCGTATAGTGTCATAGCTGCCCCTAAAGCTACATTGTTAACATTTACAAGGGCTTTTTTTGACAGATATTTAGCAGGCTACATTAAAAGCTTATCTAGGTAATATTAGATGTTAAACTAAAATGTATTCAGGCAACATCTACCTACACAATCACACACAGTAGGAATGCAGCCGTTAGCTACACAACACAGAGTTAATTGCAAGACTATTAAACATAATAATATGACATACAGAAACTCTTGTTTGGCTGTGCTTGTAGGAGATGTAGGAAAATCCTCCAGTCTACAGATGAAGATTGAAGAGAAAGCAAGAAAAACAAAAACAAAGCAAATAAAGAATAAACATTCATGCAAAATTAGTCAGTTAATTACTTGTAACCCACAATATGACACTTACTTTCAAATTTACCAAGTTGAAGGTTTTGGTTTTGTTAGGGTTTGTTGTTTGCTGTTGTTGTTGTTGCTAAAGTTTTATCATCATTTCCCCCCTTTCCTTTTGTACCCTCTCTATATGGAAGCTCAGTAAGATTATGACGTAAAACAGGCATGAAGAACCTCAGTCGCCTTCAGAAGCCCTACGTGCCTGTCAGATTAAAACTTTGATTTATCCCTCTGAAACATGCTTATCAGAAGCAATTTGGCTGGGGACATTAATAAAATTCTATATGTTTTAAGTTCTATATAGCATCTTCCAAACTGAACAGGAATTAAAAGGAGAGAGAGGCTCAAGTCACATTATTTAGCCCCTTTTCGACAGCATTAATATTCTAAAAGCAGATCACATACTGAGGGTTACCCAGCTAACACTCAAACCGTGTGAGGGTGATCTACATTACAAAGAGTTGTAGTTCAACTGTTGTTTTGCAACTCAAACAGAAAAAAGTTCAGCTAGAAGTAAAGAAAAATAACGCATGCTCTTTTTGAGTTTGTGAACCTGGCAAAAAAGCCAAAACAACAATATGGATGCTGAGCAAGTAATTCAAGATGTTCATGCACAAAAAGTGATTCTCCCCCCGCACCACCCCCCAAGTTGTGTCAATTATATAAAGGGTGGAGAACAGATATTAGAACTGTACAAATAGCACAAGGAATCATGCATCATGAGAGTTCAAAAAGATATCTATTAAAGAAACAATACAGATCTTGAATAAGAATAACCAGCATCAGTGAGTTAAATACTCCCTAAAATCTTCTATGGTTTAGTGGAACCTATAAGCTTCAAAAAGCAATTAGAATCATAAAAGAAACAATGCAGACAATGTGATAAAGTTTCTATGCGTACACCACATCAAATAAAATCAGTGCAGAAAGCTCTAATTACACGAAATTTAATTTCTTTCTTTCTACAAGAGGATCTGTCACCTACAATTTTTCAGTCAGGTCACTTACCCATTTACACTGTGATCCTACAATCAGTTCTGAACTTACTAACACCTTTTACCAGAAATAGAAAGGAACAGGAGTATTCATATTCATGTAACTATGTCTAAGGCTTGTGCAATTGGGTGCCCTAGGCTGAAAGCTATTAACACGTTCACCGAATTCCTTCTCAGCTTACTGAGATATGCCTTTCATAGGGTCACTTACCCATTTACACTGTGATCCTACAATCAGTTCTGAACTTACTAACACCTTTTACCAGAAATAGAAAGGAACAGGAGTATTCATATTCATGTAACTATGTCTAAGGCTTGTGCAATTGGGTGCCCTAGGCTGAAAGCTATTAACACGTTCTCAGCTTACTCAGATATGTCTTTCATAGAAAAGCCTCCTTTTCTATGGCATATACAGTTAGCTTTGCCAGTCAAACTCAAGCCCAATTCTGCAACAGCTGCATGGTTGACACCAAACTCTCTGATTTCATGGATTCTACATAAAGACCTATCATCAATGCTTTCTCTGTATTAAACTACACAGCTTTACTGTCACACAACTGATATCACTTCTATGCACTTGAACGATTTTAAATTGTCAGGCTTCATACTTACTGGATATTTGGGGTAATTCCCTCCAGCAGGACAATATTGACACCTCCTATGTGAGCAGTGGCACATGTCTCGGTCATCTTTTGATGTAGTACATCTTTAAGAAAAAAAGATACTTAACAGTATTTCATTCGGTAAAATACTTCCAGGTATGCCTACTACTTTCAAAAATATAGTAGTAGGAAAATAATTGAAAAATTACAGTTTCAGTAGTCATATTAAGTAATATCAAATTTAAATTGTGACACGAAAGCTTTTGAAAATGAAAAGAGTGATTGTCTTCTAAAAGAATCTCCTTCGTGGCATTTTCTGAAAATCTTGCATCCTTTTAAAATCCTTCAGCATCCTAGTAACAGTTTTTAAGAGAACCTATTGAATGTTATTATGCTATCCACACACAGATATAATGTACGTCTGTTTACAAACAAAACATATTACACATGCACATACATACCATTGGTATAGATACGCACACAAACACAAACATGTAAAGCTGCCACTGAATTTACAGAGTACATTTTAGCTTACCCCACCTTTCATTTTTTCTTTTAGGGTAAAACTGCCATGGATTCTCTTCAGTTCGGATTCCATCGTTAGACCGCCGATGTCCGCTTCCAGGTGGGTTCGGTTCACCATGCCTATGCCAAAGACTATGAGTGTCACATGCTGTGGCTCCGAAGTCACCAGGCTGCGCTTCCTCTGCGCGTCTCTGCCGTTATCCTGTTCATTCTCAAACACCACTCTACAAGCAGGTTCGGTTGGGCTTCGAACACCTACAAAAGTACAAAGGAGTTATTTAAGGATACTGGACAAGAAATCCTTGGCATATCTGATTTATATTTGTATTTGAAACCAAGGATCATGTAATCTTGCACATCAAGCGAACTCTTTACGCAAATTATCTGTGCCTCGCTTATTCCACTCTAATAACATTGCAACTGAACCAAATCCAAGACACAATGGGGACAATAATGAGTGATGTGATTTCATTATTATTCAGAGATATATTCTTATGTTATATAAAAATTCATATTTATGTGATTTTATTGTTATACGATAAAAATGGTCTGACACTTTCCAATTGTCCTGTTTCTTTTTCGATCATTTCACAGCCAAAGGTTCTTCTAATTTAGTTTTGGATGAGCAAGTTTTCCTTTTCAACACTCAGAGCATAAAAACAATGTAAAAAAATTTACATTTTGTGCAGATACCATAGCTGTGGATATGATATTCTGGGCATGAAAGATACTGCCCTCGGTTTAACAGAAGCTCTCATATGACACTTTCTCAGTTTTTCATTCTTTAGTTGAAAGAAATCCCAAGAAAATACACCTAACTAGTAACTAATACAATCCCCTGCATATTTACAGCAACTTAAGTTCAGCTCTCAAATTTACTCTGCTAGGCTAAAATACATTGGAAATAGAGCAATGATCACCCCAGATTCTCAAAGCTTTGGGTGAAATTATGGCCCAACCAGCTGTAATCTTTGCTGGACTTTACCAAAATCAGTATTTCACCTTTTCTTATCTCAAAGCTAGGTTCACAGATTATTGTTTCACTCAGTTATTCCCAGGGCAGAAATTATCTCCCTGAGGATCACCTATGTATGCGCTTACACATTTTCACAGAATGATAATATACAGCAGTTCCATTAGTCACTTGAAAACAAAATAGCACATAGGGAAGTCCAAACTCAATTCACTCTGTACACAATTAACCGGAAAAGTTAACACAGTCCCATACCCAGTGCAAGTTCAGATTAACAGAGCTGCACAAGAATAACAAGGGACTGAATTTAAAACCAAGCAATTAACACATATTTGACTAAGTCTAGGATCGAAAGAATCAAAGTATATTATAAAGCCAAGAAAAAATTTTTTTTCTTTTGTACACCACCTTCATGAACCAATTACAAGCTCCCCCCAATCTTCACCACTTGCCCCTCTGATTCAAGTTAGATGGGGTGGGCAACTTTCAAAGACCGCCTTGTGACCAACCTTTAGAAGAACACCCTTGAGCAAAAGCACGCACTCTCAATTATTTGGATTCATGAACTAGTTTACCTGTTGGCCCGAAAGTTTCAGAAGACTTTTCTAAAATCCCGGTTGGATCAGAAATGAGTGAATAGAAGTTCAATAGTTTATACATATTTTGCCAGCACTCAGCAGAAGGTTCGCTCTGTTCCGACACGGTAATAGAGTCAGAGTCATCCATATGAATAGTCATGTGGTCAACTACATCTTTTGAACCTTTCCTAGACACTTTAGAAGTTCGTCTTTCAGACCTCCCCAAGGAATTCTTGTTTCGAGACTCTTTTTTATTGTTCTCGTTGTTTGTTCGTTTGTTCTTGGTGTTGTTCACTCTGTTACCTCCATTAAGACTTCCTCGAGAGCTTCGGCTGAAATCAGAAGAGCGGAAGTCTCTGTGTTTGCGGGTTTTAAAAGTAGGTGTCGGAGAGGCTGATCCAGCTGTGTATCTGCTAAGTTTGATGTCCGTCTGCGTGGCTTTGATATCATCAATCATCGTACTGAACTGATGAATGAGACGAACCAGTGCCATATCTACGTGCTGGCTTATGGACTGGCAAGAAATTGTAAAATTGCAGTGAAAAGTATTATAATAACGTTTATTCAAGTCATGAAAAGAAAGGGCATTGGTGGAGTTATGAGGTGTGCACATGGATTTCTCCATTACAACAGCACTAATACTGAAAGTTTCTAACATCAAAGCTGGTTTGAATTCAAGAGGAGGAAGATTGACAGCTCCTTGCCTAAGGAAAGAAAAGGTAGAAGTTACTACTTTGTTATTTTTTATGGAAGTCAAATACTCTTTTTTTACACAGTGGTACATCTAATTTACTGAATCCAATCTTAATTTCCCTTAGGATATCACCTTCTTACCCTAGTTCTAAATACAAAAGATGAACTTTTATGCTTTCATACTGCGTTCTACTAACGTAGTAATCATTCAGTTCTATGTAAACATAGTTTGGCGTGCAACCTTTCCATCATAACCTA